CCTGTGCTAAGGGGTGTTTCAGTGTATCTACTTTTCTCAGATTTCACTCCAGAATCCTTACCCAGAACCAACTTGATTTCTTAATTTTTTTCTTTTTATCAGTCATTTCACCTTTACTGCAACTAGTTATACAGCCTGCCTCAATAGCTGCATGAAGCCAATATTTTGTACAGTTAGGTTACATGAACACATGGATTTGTTGCACAAATGTGTTAAGGACATTTTTAAATGCAGAAACAAACACAGCATACTGTCTTCTCCTGAGTGATGAGCAAGAGTACTTTTCAGGCAGAAATTCAGAAAGATTGTCAACAAATTTTTTGTCACACAATCTAGTGTTCTACACATACTAATATGCAAGCAAACAAAAAGTGCAACATATAATACATCATTTTGTTAGCAAATTAAATTTCTACCTCTCTCCATCCATATCCTGACCTTTTTCTTCTGGTCTGAGAATGTACCCAATTCTAAGCATCTTGTACAATTTCAATAAGTGCATGCTATCACACCCCTTTATATTGAGCCAAGAAAAGCATGCTACTAGAGAAAAAAATCAGAGTATTCTACTTTAAATCCATCCATCTGAACCCAGTTACACTTATTCTTCACATTAATGGTACTTTAAAGAACAGCCAAATTGACTTACTGAAGTCAGAGACACGTCCATCAATCAGGCTGGCTTTCTCCCAAGACCTAGGAATCCCATTAACATTTATTTCTAAAGAAGAGCTGCAAGACAGCCCAATAATGAGATGATGAGTTATGAAGAATCCAAGTCAGGTATAAAGACAGAAGATGCAGGCAAACTAAAACCAGTGCAGACTGGTTTTACAGGTAGGTATTTATGTTCTCCATTTTTTATATACATCAAAAAATAAGAGGAAACAACAGTATTTACTGGCCTTAGCATATTCCTGGATGATCTATTTCCGGTACCGTACACATTTGATTATCGAATCCCCCCCAAAAAATAAATAGTGCTCAAATTTGTTAAAGGTGCCAACTCAGCACACTTTGTAAGTGGGCAAGCATTCAAACACACAACTCCCAAAAGCTGCAAAGGAAGTTCAAAACAAATACAGAAAGGAATAACTGGGCTCTCTTCAGCAACTGAAGAAAAAATTATATTAAGATTTAGATTGGAAGGGACTTCTGGAGGTCTCTAGTCCAGTGTGCTCTGATGAACACAAGGCCAACTCTGAATTCAGATCAAGTTATCTGGGTGTAGAAATTGACCAAAGACAGAGGTTTCACAAATGTTCCAACCTGTTCCAGGAAAACTGATGAAGAAAACAGAGGGAGATATCAAGCAGGCCTCTGCTATCTGAAGGTACATTTTTACAAGCGTACAAACTTTGTACAATTATCCATATTAAATTCTCCTTGTTGTATATTTGACTTCATCAGTTCTTCCCCTCTCACATTATTCATGTGCGATACAGGCTCAGATGCTCAGCTAAGAAACAAGATCTTCAGATAAAGAGGCAGCAGTTAGCAGGACTTTAGATATATTTGGAAGCAAGGTCTGGCTTCTCTATGAGAGTCCATAAGGGTGGCAAAACTACCAGCAAGTCAGTGTGGGGAAGCCGAATTCTTCTGTCTCTATTTCCTTCTCACAGAAGAGGCTTATGATACACATATGTCCTCTCGAACACAGCCCTGTCTCTAGAGATGTGGTATTACATAAAGTTTCAGAGCCAGTCTACATGTGACTAAATAGCAAAGGGCCTTTGGTAGGCAGAGACAGGCAGGCTGCTTTAGCAAGTGATAAGCACTAACAATTGCCTTTCACAATCAGCTTCTCATCATTGCTACCTTCCTGCAAGCGATCTCTCCCCAGAGAGGCTTTTTGTTTCTACTTTGCAGCACACCAGACAGAGGAGATGCGAGTTCAAACTTCTTCAGAGGAAGGGACGATGACAGCCTGCGTGCTGTGCAAATGCAGATAAATGGCTGAGGCAAGCCATGGTCTGCACATACTTATCAGCCAGAAAGAACAAGAAACACGGTTAGTTTGTGACTTCCAGGGGACCCTGGTGTTAAACAAATCTCGAGCTCATCTACTTACATACTTGCTGGAATTTCTCAGCAGAAACTACAACACTCAGAGTAGGGGAGCTACAAGGTTAAGGGAAGATTCTTAAAATACTACCGATATCTAAATTTTGGACTTGAACACACAAATGTTGAAACTTTCCAGACTTCAACTTCCTTAATTTAACATCTGCATTGCATTTTATTTGTATATACTCTGTCAACATTCACATTTCTCTGTTCCACTCCATCTTAATGTGAGCCTACCTAGAATGACCCCATTTATTTGAAGAACAGCAATCTAAAGCCACCACCTGTCTGGCAGCCTACCCACCAACTTCCTTCTAGCATGAAAACACGTACATGCAGCTATTCCCTTCTCTTACTGCATGCCTACTGACTATTTGCTAAATAGAGAACACATTAGGAGACCAGTTCTGCAGAATAGTTGTTAAAGTGCTTGGAACAAAGACTATATAGAACAAAGATAAACTGCACCCTTTCATAAGAACAGACTAGAGCAAGATGGTGCTGAGCCAGCGCAATGTCAGCACTGTCACTGTTTGGGGGCTGCAAAAGAACAGACCCGCCATTTGTCAGGCTGGATTTGTTATTCAAGTTTTCAGACTCACTCTTGATGTGGTGCTCCTGTCTTCGTCAGCAGGGTCAGGACAAAAAACATGAAGATGACAAAAACTGCAAGACCAACCCAAAATCCAATCACAATGGAATCTGGTGAAAAAGAGAAAAAACAAGATGATCAGTATTTCGCCTGCATTTACAGAATGTTTCTTTCCACATGCTGCGTGACTGCAAATTCCAAGAGACTTTGCAGCTTATTCCTGGGTGGCAAAGAGAAAGGACAATCAGATTTATCGTTACCTACTTTTAAACGGAAAGCTGCCATTGAAGCCGTCATTTCTAGCCTGAATTTTGCTGATGTCTGTACAAACCAGAAACAAAACTGAAAGAGGGAAGACACTGAATTCTCTTGGTTAGTAAAATAACAGCAGCTCCCTTTATGATGCCTGGCCCATTACCAAGCATTGCTTTGGAAGCAACTTCAGTGCTCGAACTCAGAAGAGAGGATTGTTTGATTTTCAGCAAAAACCTCTGTCCCTGTAGAACTAAACTCCTGCTATTTTAAATGATTTGTGCCCCAGACCATTAGATTTCTGTGGTTTGATGGATTTCTTTGACACAATCTGTTTAGGAAGATCTAGCTTTCTTTCAGTACTACAATACAGTGTTCTGAAATAAACAGAACCACAGATAAAACTATTTGCTACCTCAACAAATACCAATAATATCTGCCAGATATTTTAAAATAATTTTTAATTTGTGTTTCCAACTTGCGTAAACCGCAATATAATGTCAGAAAAGCTAAATGAATTTGGACAAGTCAAACCACCAGTTAACTGAAAGAAAACCACCAGTGCAATAGCCAAATATAGAAGCAATTAGGAAGAGCATGGCTTTTTGCCTGCATGCGTAAAATGTACCTACTGTTCTCATTTGTAGCAAATGGACCCGTAGATAAATCGCCAGTCTTAAAACAAACCTATGTCCACTTATGACTTCAAAGTTGATCCACAGTTGCTCCTGAAGAAATCTTAAGCTTCCAGGAACTTGATTAAGACAGGTCCAAGTGGGACAACCACAAGGACCCACAGTATACAAGTACTTTTTTCCCTGTCATTTCAGTTACTTTTTGTTTATGCAAATATTCAAGCTTCCACTGTAAAAGTTCAAAAAAATAACATACAAACATGCAAGAGGGAAGCCTTGGTCAGGGCAGGTATCCTATCTACTCTTAACCTCTCATTACACAGCTGCTGCTGAACCTCAAAGGTCATCACTGGCTGTAAAGCTACACGATGATCTGTCTGACCCAGCACTGCAGGCACAGCACAGAACATTAGCCAACCTGTTATCTCCTACAGGAACTAACTAAAGACACTAGAAAACAAGGAATCAGCTAAACTATCCTGCCTGGTGCTTAACCCAGACAGTTAATCACACTACCACTGTGAAGTATCTTCCACCCTAAAGGGCAGATCTGGAAACCAGAAATCAATTCAAATCATTTGTTCTTTCTCTGCAAAGTCAAAGTGCCTGCTACAACTTGAGATTGTCTCCCTGTAAAAATACTTTATCACAATCAAATCACTACTTAACCCTTTTCCCTGGTAAGCTAGGGAGGTTAAGTTTCAAGTCTCCCACTGCAATGTTCACTCTGAATTACTTTCAGAATAATTTTATAAGTATAGTCTGTATTCAGTGGTTCTGGATGCATCTTGTCTTTGGCCTTATTAATACACAATAGCTTATGGTTATCTACCATCCTACCGGACTTTATAGTAACTGAAAATTTCACCTAAAAAGAAATACTCCCATTAAGAAATTTACCATTTACAGCTAACAGTACCTACCAATTAGTCAGACATGCTTCAGTGATAATGTAACTGCACTGATAACCAGAATGTAAAGTCTGGTCAAGTAAGATGTCTAAACAATATGCACGTACATTATATTGATCAAGCTGCAAAACTTTAACACATCAACTAAGGAAAAAAACCCAAATTAAGGCTCTGAAACTGCCCTTCCCCACAAAAATCACACCTGCTAGCACTGTATGCTGAATAACAAGCCTGTCTTGCAGTTTGTTTGGTGTTCCCATCAACAGAATTCCTACTGAGCTTAAAGGTACACCTTCGTTGCTTTATTGTGGCTCCTGATGCACCTTCAACCCTCTGTTCTTTCAATTAAATTTTAAACAAATCCAAAGAATTTAAGCAGGTGGTCCAAGTTCTCTTTGGTATTTCACTTAGGTCTCACTCATTTAAGTAAATTACCCAAATCTACAAACTTCTAAACATTTATTCAAAATAAACAGCATGTAAACACAGCATTTATTCAAAAAAACCCTGTGGTACATAGGACTACAGTTATAATACTGTCCCAAATTACAAATAGATTGGGAAAGTATCCTAGGACTTTCAAACTGCAGTATCACCCTTCCTTGCCTTCCTAACAGAGTCACTACATCCTGGCAGTAGTTCCAAATCCCCTGATCATTCCTACCTCTTTTACCTCACGCTACTGTTACTGAGGTTTCTTCTGTTTCAAAGGTACAAAAAGGATTTTGTTCTTATCTCTGCCAGTCACATATCTTCTGGCTATCTTTGTCTATTTACTTCCTAAAGCTTTAATTTACAAAACATCTGGTGCCTACTTTTCTAGATGCTCTGATTTCTAGTTCCTGCCTTCACATCTTCACTTCTCCTCAAGCAGAACACATCTTTTGCTTTTCAAACAGCTTTTTTTCCAGTCATATTTGAAAAGTCACTGTGGCATCTGAACAGCTTATCTTCTCTCCACCTCCACTCTTTCCTTTAAGGAACATTTTTGTGTATTAGATTGTTTTATCAATATTTCTTCTTCACAGATTACTCTGCATAACTTTTTCTGTGCTTTTCTGAAACAGGCCTCTGAATTCCTTTGTATATACATTAAGTTATTAGGAACCTCCCCGTACCTACAATTAATTAAATCAACATTAAACTGAAAGTGGCCTCCAAATTTCTCTTGTGTTCATCTTATTCATCTTATGTTATGGTTCAAAAGAGTGCCCTCGTTTTGGGTGAACTACCTTGTGGGTCAGAAATATATAATAATTAAAAAAAAAAAAAAAAAAAATAAAAAAAAAATCACACACCTCCAATTTTAAGAAGGGCCAGTGATGTTTTACAGCTGGCCAAGTGTCACTGCCAGCCTGCATCACCTAAACTCCACTCCCCTTTAAGCTCTTTAACATAAGTTACAGGCATTCATTAACACCCCTTTTTGCCAGTATTCAAGGTCTCCCTCCTATACAATCCCAGTGTAATCTTCTCTCCTCCTTGCTCTCCAGTTCAGAATTTCAGTGAAGTTAAATGCTTGATCACCTTGCCTCCACATTCCTCCACAGTCTCAGCTCAGCTGGAAATAGCTAGAAGAAACATACCAAGAACATACCATGTCAAGAAATACCATGCCATACACAACACACAGACTGTTCCTTTACCAAATAAAACACAGCCCTCAGAACGCATACCATGACACTGAAGTAAACAAAGTCAACTCCAATCTATCAGTTAAAAAACCCAAAGAACTGAAGAAAATATCCAGAAGGAACTTCCTAGATCACTGATTCAGTACTCCTGTTAGCTCCTTTCATACATACATCAGACTCCATCTGAAAACAGTTGTTACTTCTGTCCCATTCTCTAGTAAGAGTTGTCCAGATCCCTCCTGCTCAATGAGCAGCACTGCCAGACAGTAAAGCTGAGTGGCCACACTTGGTGGCATAGCAATCACTTCAATGGCAATCCAAGATCTGTTTCGCCACTGTATCTTCACAATCCAGATATAACTATCTTTTATGTTTTTCTCCTGTTTCACTCTAACATACCCAGCTAAGAAGGCATGTACGTAACACTGCAACTAATCTTTGTAATCAGTAATTTTTATAATCAGGTTTGGCCTCTGATTAAGTGGAAGAAAACAATATAAATTAGAAACATACTAAAAGCTAACCTACATTTTTCAAGTACCTAACATTTGTAATAATGCAGACAGTAATCAGCAGACTTTTTTTGAGGGAAAAAATAAAGTACAATTCAGGCTAAAAAGCAAATGCTGCTCTAGTTTTTTCAAAAGTGTTAATAACTTCCAAGTTTCTTCTGTCCCTTACAGAAACCTCCTGACTGTTCACCACCGCAGGTGTTCCTACCTTCCCGCTCTGAATCCTCATCATGACAAACGAAGTAGAAAGTATATATCCCACCCCAGAGCAGTGCTCCAGCACCCTTCCCCAATACTTTGAAGACTGGTACTCAAACCTTCTCACAGCATATCCAGCTCAGAAACAAAGAAACAAGATGGTTTGCTCCTCTTTTGCAGAGTGCTTGCAAAACATATCCATTAATTCCCAGTTAGTCTGTTACTTTGGTGGGTTTTTTTCCCCATCCCAAAACCCCCTAAAAAAAAAAAAAAAGGAAATTTCATAAAAGCCAAAGTCATTGTCTATATTCAGATAAGTGTTGGTCCAGCTGTACTAGGTTGCCCTAGCTGAATTTCCTTTCAATTCCTACGCATTTTTCATCTCTGATCCCTGTCCTCCACTTGTTACATCTACTGTAAAACAGCTCCAGTATTAGTAGAGTGCTGAATTTAACACACTCCTCCTATGAAGAAAGTACCAATGATAAAAGTTTCTTCAGAAGAAGTTTCTTCTCGTGCTTTAAATCTTTTAAAAGCCTTAAATTTATTTTCTATGAAGAAAAACAAAAGCAGTAAGCTGCCCACCACTGCCTTTTCAGTATTCACAGAAAAAAGAACAAAGCAACAAAGGTAGTACCAAGTAGTCACCAGAAGCAGTAGTGGCTGTATTTGCTGTTACAAGCTGATCCTGATAGTCTGACATTCCTCAGTATTGACAAATGTCTACCACAGTCAAGAAATCCACAGTTCTCATGAACAAGAAAAGAAGTCAACAAAAAGACACAGAATAATAAACAATTATTATATCTAACAGTTAGAGTAATACCTCTAATTTCTGAGAACCCTAAAAATGAGGACAGAGATACTTTTGTACAATAATTAGTTACAAATGACGAGCAGGAACATCAAGATGGGAAAAATCAGCTGTGATAAAGTACATCTCTACTGAACTTACATTTATGAGCCTTCAGGCCTTCAAATGATACTGGTCCATACTCATAGTACTCGTACTCCCAGGTGTAATCAGAGTTAGACAAGGCCTGCTGGGAGGTTTTGTTAGAAATCATCCTCAGGGCAGACATCTTGTACCTCAGTAAATATATATATATATATACACACACACACACCCCTGTGGATACAAAATATGTTAGAGACTACATACTTCTAGCACATCTTTTGATTTTAAGAGAATCCTTTCTTATTTATCTTCCTCATCACTGTTCCCAAGAGCAGCCACTCACAATTACAAAGGCTCTCTTACTTGTTCCTTTAAAATCCAGTATCACACCCCCTCCCACTCCTTACCCACTCACAGCTGGCCAGCCACCAGCCCATGGAGAGCTTCTCTTTAATGGAAAGAAGAAAACCTCTGTGCACCTCCACAGAGATGCTGGCAAGTCTACAAAGGATCAGAATCAGGCTCCTCAGATTGAATACAGTTTTTATAGCTCAAAAATAGTAAATACCAAAGACTGCATCTTAGGAGGAATGCTGTCATGAAAATGTGGGTGGAGAACTGGCCAGACTACCAGGCTCAAAGGGTTATATTATCCACAAAAAGTCCAGCTAGCAGCTGGTTATCAGTGGTACCCCTCAGGGACTGACACTATGACGAATTTGTAGTGGATTATGTGGTGTACAGGCAAGAGGATGGAGAGCAGACTGCTGCTCAGAGGGACCAGGACAAGCTGGAGAAAGGAACCTCATAGAGATCACCAGAAAAATGCAAAGTCCTACATCTGGGAGGGAATAATCCCATGCCATAGTTCAGGCTGGGGGTTGACTGCTGGGGAGAAGCTCTGCAGAGAAGGACCTGCAATGGACAAGCTGAACACAAGACAGCAACATGCCTTGTGGCAAAGGCAGCCAAGTGTGTACTGGGCTGAATTAAAAAAAGGGCAGCTGGCAGGTCAAGAGATGTGTTTATTCTTCTCTGCTCACCACTGGTAAGACTGTATCTGGGGTACTGAATCTAGTTTTAGGGTCCCCAATGCTAGAAAGACAGAGACACGCTGGGGCAAGTCCAGTAGAAGGCCACCAAGATGGTAAGGTAGCTGAAGCACAGGGTGCACAAGAGCCTAAGGCAACTGGGTTTGTCCAGCCTGGAGAAGAGAAGGTTCCAGGGAGCCCTTAGTGCTGTCTACAGTTACAGTCAGAAGGTGCAGAGATGATGGAGCCAGACTCTTCTCAGAAATGCAGAGTAAAAGGACAAGAGGCAATGGACACAAACTGGGAAACAGGAAATTTAAGTTAGATACAAGGAAAAAAAAACTTACCTGATCTAGTTGAACATGCTTTGAGCAGGTAAAAAGACCAGATGACCACCAGAGGTCCCTTCCAACCTAAATTTCTCTGCAACAATAAACAGCTTCAGTATGTCACTACAGAAAGAAAATAAATTAGGAGTGATTTTCCTCACAGATTAACGAAGTCTGCAGTGCAACATCAAGCATCATTAAATTGTCTTGACTGATATTTGTCATTATCACAACACTGCACCAGGGATTTACATTTTGCAGAGTAATTTCTTCAGAGTATTAGACAGTTTTATGCACACCAAAAGAGAGCACATCTCTGCGCAAAACATCTGCTGCAGCAGCTGGAGTCAAGACATTCAACTTGAAATATATTTCAAAATACATTTTGTAAAAGCAAGTTGAGCTTTGGGTAATTTTGCATTCAATTATAACCCAGCAGGGTGAAGACTTCATGCAGTTCATAAAACTGCTGCAATCACTTGTTCTGTGAACAATGAAACTTCTCAGAGCACAAAGTCAAATCCAGATAAAATTTCTTGAAAAGGGCCTTAAATAGCCACATCACTCAAAATAACTGAAACTTCAATCCTTCCTAAGGATAATGTGATTGACTAAGGCTGTGCAAGTAAAGCACATTGTTCCATGTGCTAGGAGGGCCATACATAAAGAACAAGAATCAGGCACAAAATGAGGAACACAAATTCATCCAGGGAATATGAACAGCATTCCAAATTTCTAAAATAGTTTTTTCTGCAACTATTTTACTATGAGGAAATGCTGACAGAAATGCCTCAAAACAATTTTAAATAAATAGTGAAGTATGCCTGAAAAAGTAAACTTCCTATCCAGTTACAAGGTTCAGAAATTGATCTATTTTTCAACTCAAACCAGCTTAGTGTTCATAATAAGCAACTTGTCAACAGGACTGGGGGGCTGGAGGGGTGGTAGGGAGAGACATGACCAACCCCATTCTTGGATCAGGATAGGGAGCTTTACATTACCCTCATCTGCCTTTAGCCACTCAGAAAGCTCCCAGTGAGAATAAATAACCCAAAGCACAGAGAAAGAAGAAAAAAAAAAAAAAAAAAAAAAAAAAAAAAAAAGATGGCTGTAACAGACAACCCAGTTCATGGCTGAGGATGTTTCCTATCTTCTACTTCCAATCCTTTAAGAGGGGTTCAAAAACAGAGGTAAGACAGAAAAGAGCTAATTCTAACTTTAAGCACTGTGTTGACAGTAAAGTTCCTCTTTTACTTTCCCAGTGACTAGAAAACATTTCCTGGAATCAAAGAGAGAATGTCTAATTAAGCTTTAGACAGTTTTCCTTGTTTTTTATCAGCTAAAGTAACTGCTGCCTCTGGGAAAAGCAAATTACACAGAGAAAAGCCTAAGATTCTTGTCCTAGTTCGCTCCCATCTCAGCTGTCAGTTGTCTCTTAAAAGATCTCATGTTCCATTTTGTGACTGGGTCCTGAAACTACATGGTTCTGCACAGGGTTCCCACCATCTTTTTTCCCCCTTCTCCTCAATGTTTTGTTGATATGTTTTATTAGCACATTCTTGTTTAAGGGCTGCTATTCTCTTTTATAGCCTTCCAGAGAATTCTTTCATTTAAATATTTCTCATATGGCATCACCAGTGTTCATTGTCACCTCCTCACTTTTAGTATTATAGAAAGAGCTGAACAGGAATCCACAGGCAGAGACTTCAGAATAGATTATATGAACCATCCAAAAAATGTTTCTTCTTCCACCTCAAATGCAGGCAGATGGGATTAATTGGGCCACATGCAGATCTCCCCTCATCTAGTCACTAGTGTTCATTTATGATTTATGGGGGAAATAGCCACTTTTAGGACAGAAAGAATCTGTCCTGGTTTAGTCTTGGGTCAGGACTAGAAGCTCCAGTGTTTCACCACTGACTACAAGCATTTCTAGACTTTCACTGTAGACAACCCATTGTCAGAGGGAGAGGTACTAACTGAAACGTAGATCACCACCTCCCAGGCTAGCCTGCGTTTCAGACTTTGTGGGATGTATAAAATACGCCTCTAAATCATCCAGCACAGCTAAGCATAAGCATTTTCCCAAACTAGCTTACAGCTCACTTGAAAGCTTTGTCTGTCCAAATGCCTCCAATACTTCACCCTGAAGCATGCTAAAACAAACCTTTTACTCTACTTCAAAAACCAGCCTAGCATGGTGGAACAAGGACCAGCACAGCAAAAGCAGTGAACGTTAAGACCTTGTATCTCCTGCAGAAGGGCAAAGCAGGGTGAGCTGGTGTGCTAGCAGCCTGTCAGGTGCATTTGTCAGGCTGCTGTGGGTCATAGAGGGACTGCAGGTGCCAACTAAGGGCTTCAGGGAAGGAATTCCCCAAGGAGATGCGTTCAAGCAATCTTTCTGCCTGGAACTGACAGCAGTGATTCATCCCACAGCCATGAGGCATGACAGGGAGCTCCTCTAATTGACCTTGCTGAAGGTTTTTTGGCAGGGCACAGAAGTTGTTTAAGGCAAACATGAAAGTTCCTCTGTTGACCTTGATGTGCATGGATGCAGACAGCCTTTCCTTACTTATTTGTTTCAGGAGCGAATAAGTGAATAACAAAAAGCTTCACTTTGATCACTCAAGAAATCCCAAAGCAGGGTTGTGTTCAGAGCTGCCAACCAGGAGACTCAGGCAGGTCAGTCTCCTGGAAATTAAAAAGACGTGCTCAGGGCCACCTTCTAGAGCAGTGGGTTGCTCTCTGAAGATAAAGGATGTCAAGAGGTGCCCAGACATTCCCCACAGACATGACTGCAAACTCCTGGAGTTGAATTATACCTTTATGAGAACTTACCTGTAACCTGTGTGAAAATCTGTAAGGTCACAGCTTGCCTGACAGTGATACCTGAGAAAGCCAGTTTGATCACTGGGCTGTATTTGCACAAAACACACATCTCTGAACTGCAGCAGCTGTGCATCAAATACTGCTGCAGTTGGACTATTGCTTCAATCTGGACATAATCAACACATTGCACAAAGCTCACAGCCACTTACCTTTCAAAGTGAGCCACTGTAAAGACAAAACTGGACACACACCATTTCTGAAGCACAATTTCACGGCTTATACCACCTCTGGGGTCACAATGGCAAGTCTGCTTTTGTGTACATCTGAAACTGGCTTTGGTATGTAACCAGAAACAAATACCTTCAGACCTGACCTGCATGCACAAGAATAAATCCATATGGACCAGTCAATGTACCGTTCATTTCTGGAGGAAGAGAAACTACCAATACAGTATACACAAGCAACCTGGCAAATTTTCAATCAAAAACTACATGTATTTTCCACACACTTCCATTCTGCTTACTGCCATAGAGTCAAAGCACTTTATAGTGTTCATAGAATAAATGAACAAACTGTTGGCCCCTTGCAAAGCGTGAAGATCCCAAAAGCCAGGCAGGAAAAAAAAAAAAAAAAAAGAGTAGTAACATTTCAAACTGTGAGAAAACCTTGCCTGAGAAAGCTTAGCTCTACACCCTGCTGCATCAGCTCTGCAGTACAACTAACCCAGCTATTGCTGGCTATGCAAAATTAACTTGGGCTGTTTCCATATTCCTGAAGTCACCATACCGGCAACAATATTCTGCATGGGGTGAGAAAAGGGAACCAGTCACCATCACATTCCTTTTTATTCCGTCCCACAGACAAAGAGGTGAAGTCAGAGGAAAAAGAAGTCAATGAAAAAAAAAAAAAGGAAAAAAACCAAGCACAAACTTATTTACTCTTCACTGAATCAGCTGAAAGGTAACACAGACCCCATCTTTCTACAACCCTACCACACAGTTGTTGCTTTGAACAAGCTGTGCCACCCCCAAGAACTGATGAGAAATGCAGGAAATACTTAACCAAATGGTCCTTGTTTCTTGATAATTCTCAAGATCCTAAACAGGCAAGATTTAAGATCAAACGTGTGGTCTTTTCAGGGTAATACCCAATCTTCCCATCTGCAATAAAAGAGAGGAAAGCAAGCTATATAAACCAAGTGCAATTTAGCAAGAACAATAGAAAGATAGCTGAAAACTGCCTGTACAATTAAAAATCAGTCATATACACCGATTTTGAGTACATTATACCTGGGACTTTTCTCAAAGAGGAAAAAAAAGTACCAACGTTAACACTGGTTAAGTTTGTGATTGATGCTCACAATCAGCACCATCTGCATGAGCTGTTGTGCTAAAATAACAAGAATTATGTTGGATTCATCACAAAAGAACTTTAAAACAATAGTAAGGAAAATGCTCATTTAGTCATTGCTTATTCTGGGAACTACAGATGAGAAAGGACAGACATCTGTGCCTCATACTATTGTATTACACATCATATAACATACATTTTACTATCCTTATAATTTTGCAATGTAAGCTAGAATCCAACAATAAGCTACTTACACCCCACATGCAAATTCTCATGAAAATGTCTTATTTTCCATGTACTAATGCTTAATGTCTTGTGCTGTGTAAAAGGAGGTCTCCAGGCCATTATATACAATTTGCTTGCCAACTGTATAGCTACTGTTCGTACTTGTTTAAAAGTGGTAACATTATGAATTTAATGTAAATTTTAACAAATACAAGACCAAAACAGTTTGCCAAGTATTTTCCTAAAGATAATGATATGTGCAAACACAAATGCCCACTTGAGTGTTCAACTCAGTAGGGCCACCTGGAAGTTAGGCAGAAAGTAATATGAAATCATACTGTACTATGAATTCAGACAACTATATGGATCTGAAAATAGAGTAAATACTACATAAGCTTACTCATAAGCCTTGTCTGAGAAGACAGCTGAATTATACCTAAGATATCATGACAGAAGCTATGTATTCCTTTCACTTTTAAAAAGTTTCAGTCCTGCACTAACAGCAAAAGGACATGGTACAGTTAGTATAGAGCTGGTGGGACTTGCTCCCAAAGCACACTGAAGCAAATAGCTTAGCTTAACTCCACTACCAAAAGCCTTAAAAATTAGAGCCAGAATATACAGTCTTAAGAGACAGTATTATCTACAAATAATAAAGATATGCTATCCATAATTCCATTTATTTCCTGCAGATGGGCAGAATTATACAATCGATCCATCACCCAGCTTCAATGTTTTCTGAGCTCAACTGAAGCTCAACTTCATACACTTCATCGTGACAGGATTGCAAAAACTGATATATTACAAGAATTCACCCTTCCACCCAAATAATACATGTCTATACACAAAAAACCAAACAACTTGACAGTTGTTACAGTCACAGTAGAAAATTTTAAGCAAAGAAAAGTCTATTTTTCTAAAGAGAAAATAGGAGGTTTAAATTTCTGAGCATTTTTTACAGGGGGAAGATTACCCTTTCAATAGCTTTTCCCCAGACATAACCTCAGGTGAACCTCATTCTGGACATGGCTCATGGACACAACTGCAGACACAGCAAGGCTGTGGTCAGAAAAGAAGTCTAGGTATTGCTGAGCCCATTTTCCTCTCCCCACTAAAAGTCAACCTCCTCTTAGATGTGCAGATATGGCAGCTTCAAAGCTCAAGTTCCCTCAAGACTAAAAGAAGCCCTATCAGCGCTAAAGTACTGAGACCTTTTCAGTCCTATAATGTTACAAATGGTATCATCAGTAGCATATGTGAGCTTATTCAACACTTTCCAAAAGAAAGGCTGCCCTTCCCTTAGCTGTTTGCAATACTACAATTTTTTAACCTTGCATACTACAATTTTTTAACCTTTCAGTACTGATAGAGGTGCCAGGCTGATTTGTTATAAAAATACCCTGAGGTGAAACAGCTCTGGCATATCCACTAATGAGGTAAGAGTAAACCATAAAGCAAGTTTGCAATTGGCCTGCCCTGAATGCCTCTGTCTTGGGCTGCACTATTATCCTGAATTTTCCAGGCTTGGCAAAGTTTTTTGGGTTTGTGTTTGTTTTTTTTTAATTATTTATTAAATGCCTCTTTTTATTAGCTTTATTCCCACAGAAAGCTCAGTGCTGAGATGGGGATGTTTTGAATTCCTTGCTAACCCTGAAGTCTGTTAATCCAGTGCCTTATTCTGAGTAGGGAGAAAAGAAAGCTTACCCGCACACACACACACCCCCCTTCCCACTCTCAACGATCAGCTCACTGCCACTCAACTGGAATGGTTCCATCAGAAGATGAGTTAGTTGTTAAGAGTTGTTTTTAATACATCTTCTATTTGTTTATCACATAAGAACCTATAAAAAAAACAGCCACCATAAAAGGGACAAACATTACAATTTTGCAACTAAAAGATGACATTAAATTTGAAAGAAAAAAAAATATCTCACTGTGAAGAGAATTTATGTCAATGAATGTAACCCCGTGCATAGGGTTACTAGACTAGATTTACACAAATTGGCTAGGCTGCAAGTCATGAAGAAACACTGGAAGCATAGTGCTCAGTGTGGCCAAAGAACAACTGAATCCAAGAACAGAGGCCCCTGGGAGTTTTTCAAATAACCACACCTAAACTGACCACATGTAACAGAGGCAAGGCTGAAAGAAGGAACCACTCCTGTACGATCACTTCTGGGAAACTCAGTACTGATTAACAGTTGAAATTCCCTAACCTCCCTCTGTGTCAGTTACCTGGGCCTGAAGACACCCTTGTGCCATCCTCACCAACACTGCAGGGCACCCCATTGCCACGTGCCAGCCCCAGGATTTAAAGCCGCTGTTGTTCATAGGGCTGCACAGCCCAGAAATGGCTTTGCAGCAGTGAAAAAACACCAGAACGCTGACAAGCAGAGTAGCTGAGTACACTCCCCCTCTCCCATTATTAAAAAGACTCTAATCTTCACGTAATGTCCATCTGGTCTTAAGTACAGCCACAGCACACCTCTCATAGCACCTCTTCACTTGTCAGTAGCTCTCCCCACACAAATCATTTTGTTGCTAGTCTACGCTGAGGCCAGTGGAAGATAAACTGGCAGAGACGAAAAAAAAAACAGAGGTATGATAGACCATTTGTTCAGAGCTACTCCCACACTTGGGTATCTTGCAACCATGGTTTGACTGTGCCATGGTGGAAAAATCTTCAGTGTATGCTCTCATGCACACAGGGTCTGTAAAACCATAATCTCTCTGACACAAAGTAATGCTTGAGCTTTTCAGTTTGAAAGTCAGTTATGCATTAAGTTTCCTCAAGAACTAACAAAAAATAAAAAGATAGAGCTTTTCTTGAAAACTTCCACACTTGAATGACCAAACATTTTCTGAACTTTTGTAGTTAGCATACAATATCATGCAGAAATTTTACCTTAATCGGTTCAGTGCAAATTTCAGTCACTGCAGTGGAGCTGTTTATTAAAAGTCAAACTGGTTTGGGATCTTTCCAAACCAGTATCTGGCTTTTTTCTGCCTTTAGATCTAATTCTTCCCTCTGGTGCTGCTGACGAAACAAACAATTTACTGTAGTGTCTCAAATACAAATTTCTTTTCAGGTAAATCAGACAGCAGCACACGACTTGCAAGCACACATCTGAATTCTCTTATTCTTAATTCCTACCACATCTCTCTGCTACACCAGGCTATGAAGTAGTAACTAGAGATCAAGGAAACATCATTAAAACAGTACAACCAAGGCCCATTGCAGTGAGCATGCAGAATAAAGCCTTCATTTATTTTGCCAGTAATAGCTTGTATTATTGGTTCAAAAACTGCAGATTTTATTTCAACTGAACAAGCTGCAAGAGTATCATCTGTGCTTCACCTTAAAACCTCTTCCACCACAAAGTGTCCGTGGACAACCAGCAAAAGAATAGGCAGTAAGTGACTTTGTCCAGGTTTTAATATTTTGGATTTTTTTTTTCTTAAAAAATCCAACAGGTGTTCTCTTGCAATAACTTGACTTATTTTGCACATTTTTGCTCGCGACTGATATACCCAGAACGTCTCATTATTTTCTGCAAGAATGAGGCCAAACTGTCCTTAGTCAATAGAGAGCTGCCATTTTTTCTGGCATCTTTCCAGGTATTTTACTCCTGTGGTAAAAAGTTATCTTAACTCTCTGATTAGAAACCTGAAAAGGAAACCACAAATGGACAAGAAAAAACAAGCAGTATTTGAGACTATTACTTGATTATCTCCAAACAAAAGCCAAAACATCTATTTATTTCCACAGCAATTACGCAAATCTGCATCCCTAGGTATACTGCCTCCAGGGAGCTCAAATCAGAGTAACAGATAATAGCAGAGGGAACAGCTCCTAAACAAAGCAGTAGGCTGGGAAACACACCTGGAAATAGAAATGCCTCAATATTCTTGCAGACAAACCCCAACCAGCCTCATCAAGGCAGCTTAAGACAGCGTTGCCATTGCTATCCCATCCGTCTACCAGCTATGCCTGTCCCAGGAGAAGTGGCAAACTAACTGTGCCCACGCTTGCAGTCACTGTCCAGCACTGTACACCAGGACTAGCAACACAAGTGTCAGGAAACACTTTGGAAGGAAGTTTTGCTGGCTTGTCACTGAGGTGAGCATCTCCAGCAGAAGGAGGGGCAGACAGCTCAGGAGGGATTGAGCTGCTGCTTACCAGAGGAAGAGACTGCTAAGACAACTATTAAGAAAAAGACTGTTAAGGGAGAAGGGAGGTGAAAATAGGGTATGTGAATCAGCAGGAGACTAGGGAAGAGCACATGGGAGAACAGGAAGAGGGCAAGAATTAAAATGGGAGAAGTAATCTAAGGCTGCATGAAGGAGAGATGTTCATCCTTTCAGTCTGAAAACACAAAGGGAAATGTCATCTGGAAAACAACGAAAACCAAACAACCAAAACCAAACAAACAAAAAACCCCACAAAATTATCTTCGGGTTTTTTGCAAAGATTTTACATTAAATTTTTAAGTGCATCCAAACACAGCAGCCAAAGCAGAACACAACATACATTTTGGGGGGACTAAAAATAATTTCCATGTATTCCAAGCAAGCTATGTGCTT